TGGAAACTCCCAACTGCTATTCCGTGCTTTATTATCTGTCCCTTGACTTCTAAAATAAGCTACTGAGGTGACAGAAGGAGTGAAAGATGGATGATGCAGTGAAAATATTCTGTGCTGCTGGGTCACAAATATCTTGGGAAAAGGCCTTCAAGTCAAGAGGGACTTAGGTCCTGGAAACCCAAGGAGTCATGAAAATCTCCTAAATTTACTTTAACCTAAGAAACTTGTGTTTCTTTAATGCTGATTAAGATGCCCAAGGACCCCAGCTTCTGAGGGAGGCAGTGAGGATGGAGGCAGGGACAGGATCGGCCCAGGTTAAGGAATCTCAGAGGTGTGTACGACAGAGTGCACGGAACCACCCACCAGTCTAGCACAGCAGTGGGAGGGAGGCGAGGAAACGGGAGAGCATCAGGAGGTGAGGGCAGAACGTCATCTGACAGCCCTGCCACCCTGCGTGTGACCTGCCACACCCCAACCTCACACTAGGGTGCCCGAAAGCCCCTCCCACTGACTCCCAGGCTTGCTGACTTGCCCCACTCTTGCCAGCCTCTCCGACTGCAGCTTGGTTCTGCAGAGCTGTGTGAGTCCACAGAGCCTGGCATGCCTGCGAAGCCGTGTTTTCGAGCCTGTCCCTAAAGGGCCAAGCCCTGGGAGATGCTTGCAGTCACAGCTGTCAGAGTCAGGGGCCAGAGGCCAGTGGGGCCCTTTGGTTCAGAGGAAATAAAACGTCATTTAGGGCTAGGACACAGAGGAGTAAATGTCACTTCTGCTCTTTGACAGCTCTTCAGGATCTGGAGCAATGTAAGTGATATCTTTGATTCTCAATTTCTCTGTTTGTAAAGGAAAAATGCTCCCTCTAAAGCACTGACTCATTATCTAGAAATTTGTCAGTTAAAAGAAAAGATTGAACATTTCTCCTACCTTTCCAATACAAACAGTATTTCCGGGTAGCCAGGCAGCCCAAACTGTCCAGGGGAAGCGTTCTGTAACATGACAAGGTCCTGCTAACTCGAGTGGAAATAACACAGGGTCAGGACATTGGCTTTGCGCAGACCCTAGAATCAAACTGCTTTAGGCAAAGGCTGGGAACCAGGGGACGCGATGGTGCTGAAGGGATTGGTGGCTGCCCCCAGCCTGGGGACACCGCACCGGGCTCCCCACGGGGTGTGCCTTGAAGCCCACCGCTGAGGAGCTCCTGCAACGGGCCACACTTCAGCCCCATCTGGAGCCAACCCAGGCCACTGGGAACGAGGGTAAAGATCCAAGCCCAGATGCCAGGTGGAGAGACAGGCAGCTCCAGAACGTGAAATTCTGCAGGAAACTGAGTCCATTTGCGCAGCAAGTAAATGTGGAGAAAACCGGGGGCCAGATCTGACCAAAAGACCCCTGAGACAGGCCGTCGTGCTGTGTGTGGTGATCACAGCCACATGAGCGCTTCGGAAAGGGCTCTGCCTGGCTACACACAGGCTTGTGGGAGTCGCACTGTCAGCCTGTTTGGGTGTGGTAAGGGCGCTGTGGTCACTGGAGACAAGACCCACACTGGGGCGCTATGCATATTAATTATGTGGGGAGTGAAGTATCACAATTGTCAAAATTTGCTTTAAAAATCTTTATAAAACCAAAAGGAAAAAATGAGGGAGGTGAAAGGAGAAAAAGACAACAAAATAAAGAAAAAAGAGAAACAACCCCATAGCATGAATAGAAACTGATGAGATGGATCTAGGACGGCTCAGAGCCTAAGGTGGGGTCTGTAGGGCCCTTGGGAAACCCCCCTCCCTCCACCTGTGCTGCACCACTGCTCTGAATTCGGATTCTGCAGGTCCTGAGCAGGGCCAGGCCGGCCATAGCACTGCCTGGAAAGCCCTGGGTGTCCTAACACCACTCCTCTTCCACCCTCTCTTCTACACATCTCCGTGATAGAAGGATTCAAATCGTGGCTTCTTCTGAAGCAAAAAAATGAAGTACCGCATTGTTCCCTCACTGTGAGGAGTCCGTGGGCTGAGTGGGGCTTGGAGGCGGACACAGGGCCGTGTCCTCGCCTCTTCCTCCCCAGGATGCAGCCCAGAGCCCACGGCAGGCAGACATTTGTAACCTGCTGAAACCCAGCCTAAAATGTCTGCATTTCAGGAAATGTCTCAGATTTAGTCAGAAGACGATGTACCAGCTGCTGCTTCACGTGTGATACACCACGTTCACTCGGCAAAGTTCTAATCTTGCCTTTTGATTTTCCCAGTGTGTCTGTACAAAAATTACCCCATCATTTCAAATGTCCCCACATTAGGCAAACCAAATAGCTTCTCAAAGAAGATAAAAAGACAATAGTTCAAGCTCAAGCTCGGGCAGCCCGGTACCATCAGTGGTGGGCAACAGCCGGGGTGCAGGGGCTCCCTGAGCTGACGCCCTCCCTCTGTGGGCCCAGTGGGGACCCGAGTGCCATGGTTTGGGCAAGCCAAGGGACAGGCCCCCGTGACACCTGCACCCTCCCTGCAGCAACACACACAGCTCCGTGGACCCCAACAGCCGGATCAGCCTGGGGCACCTGTCTCCGTTCCCACTGTCACCGCCCCAAGCCCTGCCTGGCTTTCCTGCTACACAGGCATCCACGCACAGCTGGCAGCGCCCACACCTGCCCATCCTACAGAGCAGGAAAGAATCTTTATGCTCACAACGAGTGCTGGTTCCGGGACAGCGGACCACAGTGCCCTGGTGAGGACGCTGACCACTCCACTGCCGGGGCACACCCAGCCATTGTCCCTGCAGCCAACGCCACCATGCCACGCCGGGTCTCCCAGTGCAGTGGAGGAGTGCTGGCCAGGCTCAGAGGCGGAAGGAACAGCACCGACAGCTTCACCCCCGACCGACAGACTTGGCTCCCAGGGTTGGCAAGGTTTTCCCAAGCTGTTGTCTGTCTGCCCTCCCATTTCTCCAGTCCTCTTCTGAAAAGGGTGATCTAATAACACCTTTAAAATATATAATGAGTAAGTAAATGTGGTGTTTATGTACAGTGGGGCACCATTGTGTCATAAAAATGATAAACGTGTCATCTGAAGAAAAGGTATGCACCTTGAGATCATAACAAGTTTAAGTATCACATGGTTTCTCACATAGGAAAATCTCAATATACATATTACAAAATAAAAGAGAGATAATAGAAAAAAAGAGAAAGAACAAAAGATATTACAGTCCAGCACAAATTATCTAAAAGTGTGTCTTGACTTACTACAATTGTCTTACATGTTTTTTTGCCGATTAGCCTGGTTTTCAGTCTGTATAAAAGACAATTAACTCTATCCAGTCTTACAAGATAAGTAACTGAATCTGATGCTGGAAAAGTGAAAGGCAGGTGGAGGGTACACAGGGAGGTGCACAGGTAGCAATCCCCTCAGTGAGTGCAATCAGTGTGTACTGAAACACGTACTAATAAAGGAAGAAGAAAGAAGAAAAAAATAAATATAAAAATAAAATGTATTTCTTAAACTCTCGTTGTTGGCTGATGTTACTGATGAAAAACATTTCTCTGCAGCTATGTGGCACTTCCAGCCCTCATGCGGGAGACTTCCGTGAGTTTGGTCACAGCACTCTTGGCAAAGGAGAATGAGGCAACGAGATGATTCCTGGGGTGGTAAGAATCCAGGATTCGTGTTCTCAGCAGAGTGCTTTTCCTGAGGCTGGAATGTAGTATCTTACCGAGAAAATGCAACAACAGAAGAAATAACGTGGCCGGTATGTAAGACTCCTTCGCTGAGCACGCCTGCCTGGCCTGGGTCCCCACTGGCCCTGGAGACCGCTCCCTTCCACTTTTGTTCCTGTCACAAGCAGTTCAGGACTCCTGGAGCAAACAGAGCTGAAATTTCACTGTTACACAGACTTCGCCTCAGCAGCTCACGGAGCGTAACTCGCCAGCCCGCTGCGCTCCACGTTTGCACGGCAGGCGGCGGAACCACTAAACTAAATCCCCGGCCCACGCACTCCACGTCTGATACCAGCCAAAGCACGCAACTTGTGAAGGAAGCCTCACGTCTATCCCTGCCTTTCTCTGGGACCTGCTGCCTGAATGTGTGGCCTGTCATCATTTTTCCTAAATCAGAGCTCCAGTCATGCTCAAAAAAGGATGAAATATTTTCAGAAGCAAATACCAATCAAAAGAGTATTTTCTATCCCCTAGCACCTCAGACTCAAAGTAGAGGAAGGAAAGAAAGAGCACAAAATCTAAAAATTAAACTGGGTGCTAGACTTGAAATCTTATAAGCATCCTCTAGTTTTTGTGCAGCTCTCTTAATATAGCCAACTTTCTTGTTTAGCTGATTTCTTATTTATGTAATTTTTTAATGAGAAGGGAGGAAAATCTTTGCTAGAAGTGATAAAAAATCTTTCAGATGGTAAAACAGATAGCCCTGAAAGTTTTTGCCTAAATCTATACACATATCTAAAATAAAACTGGCCGATTACTCTCGCTACAGTGTGTTGGAAAAGAGCGGCACTTGAAAATACGGCGTAGCAGGGCAGCTGCATTGCCTCTAATTAAGTACAGACGAGGAAGAATTATTCCTGGTGGAGTCCATGGAAGAGGAGTGGTAGAAATTTCTGTCTTTGCAATTCAAAATTATTTTAAAGATAGAACATTTCTTTTCCAATGTCTTCATTAAACGGAGCTGTTAGAATTGTCTCCAAACGTCCCCAAAAAGTACAAAGCTAACCAGTATTCCTACCCCATCTGCTCAGCTTTGAAGTGTGAAGCTGTGACCGTCCCCCTAGATCTTGCACCATTATCAAAGCCATCTCATTAGGCCCAGTGCAGTTAAAGCACGGGGCCCTCCTCGCTCCAACACAAACACTGCATTAACAAAGCAACCGCAATGGTTCTCCCCCACACGGCTAAAACGCCAAGACATTCTTACCATATGTACGCATGCACGAGATACAGACATTTATTGTGCTAGAACATCACTGAGAAGTACATTAAACATGTTGACTAGAGCTGGATGTTATTCTAAGGGGTTGGAAAAATAACAATGCGGCTGATCTTCACGATGAAAGAGCAGGGACATTAAGCTGAAAAATGAGACCAAGTGCAATTCCTCAACTGCATTTCCACCGACACATTCATTGCCTGTTCTTTCTTGAGATAGCAGAAAATAACAGAAAGGGGGAGCAAAACTATTGCATAAGTCTGGATGCCACGGCTCACTCTGTCGAATTTCATATCAAAGGGACAAATAAGCTTACTATAGAGACATGTTGATAGCAACACAGGGTGGCTTAAAATGAGCGGGGCTTGCTCGGAAAGGGGTTTCTGTGTGTATCTGTGAGCTGTTCCCTTATTATTGGCATGGCAATAAAAGATAAAATGCAAAGGGAAATGTGTCATCTATTAGGGAAATGAGGTCAGGATAAGTGCTTGCTTGATTTCACGTCTAAACCCTTCGTATGGGCTCTGGAGAAAACTTTGCTCTTATGGACATGACTGCTCAAGAATGTTCCCTGTGGCACTATTTGTACTAGGAAAAATGGAAAATGATCTGAGCATTTACATACTGGGGGACAGATAAAACATGACATGCTCAGACTGTGATGTTTAAATGGCAGTTCTCAGGAAGGAGCTGGACCTAGACATACCGCCATGGACAGATTTCCAAGACCTCCGCCGAGTGAAGTTAGGTGTGAGAGCATTTGGACCACAGGCACACACAAGAGGTCCTAAATTGAATTTGTAAGTACATTCAGCCCTCCATAGCCACAGCTTCTCCACCCACAGATTCAACCAACCATGGACTGAAAGTCAGAGGGAAAATTGCACCTGTACTGAACGTGTGCAGACTGCTCTCCTGTCCTTATTCCTTACAACAACACAGTGGCAACTATTCACATCACATTTACCTTGTACTGGGGCCTCCAAGAAACCTAGGAGTGACTCATGTACCCAGGGGGACATGCCGTGTACCAAGGGAACCGAGCAAACGTGGGTCTGGGTCTACGGGAGCACCTGCTATGAACACCTGATGGGTGGTGAGGTGCCCAAGAGAAAGCATGGGGCTGGATGGGGTGCCCTGAGCTCAGGACACCAGGAATTATGGGCAGGGAATGATTCAGGCAGCCAGGAATGAAGGTCATGATCGGAGGTGTATTTTAACTTACCTGCAGTGCTTAAGTTAAGTGAGGATTCTTGGTTCCCCTGCTGTCTTGATGGAAAACTGTACGAGGTGTCCTTGGGTTTCAGGTCTGTTTCCCAGCTTCAGGATGAGCTTTGGACCTTTCCTTGTCCTCGTTCTATACACGGGAACACGTGTCCATGGCCTCCGTGGGGACAGAGATGCAGGCATTGACAAAGGGGCTGGGGACAGGAAGGTTCACAGGAACACTTTATATGTGCATATTTCTGTCCAATAATCCAAGAGGCTTGTTGTTTCTTTGTAGGTTATATCTGCTGTATTTACCACTTTGTGCAACATGAAAAATTACATTTTCCTGAATGATTTAACATATTCAGCTTATACTATACCTGACAGCTTATTTTAATTTATCCCACAGTTCTCTCTTGTAATAGGGGTATTTGTTTGTTTGTTTGTTTATCGAGACAGGGTCTCATCGGACTGGGCTTGAACTCACTACATAGCCCAGGCTACCCTTGAATTTTCAGTGATCCTCCTGTCTCAGCCTCCCAAGTGCTGAGATTGTAGGCATGCACCACCATGCCTAGCATCTCTCTGACAATGGTCTTGCATACAGACATTGTGACTGCAGCTTTTTTGGGGGAAGATATTCTGTTCTTCCGCCCTGATTGTCCCTACAGCATTCACAGTTAGAGATGGAGACAGCAGACTCTCCAGACCTGCTCAGACGGTCCCGGTGTCTCTCTGAGCTCACACGGCACCTCTGTGATGGGTCACGAGCATCACCTGGCAAATGGAGCACCAGTGGAGGAGAAACCAGAAGCACTGCCAACCTCTCCTGCTTCAGTATTTGGACTCTCAGGACAGAATGGAGAGAAGGGGCCCACTGTGCTCATGGCAGAAGGGACCAGCCCGGGCCCACAGGGCTCAGCACCCTCTGAGGAGGCCACAGAGAATCACCATGGTGATGACTGCTGCACACAAGGCCGGTGCCACTCACAGCTGTGTTCACAGGAGGGTTCCACTCCACCATAGCTACAAACACTAAAAACTCTGAAAGAGACACAAAATATTTCCTACAAGCAATGGGCACAAAGAAACTTGGACTCAGGTTGTTCAGCCCTGATTGCTCATTTTGCCCTCTGCGCATTGGGCTTTCCCACCCATCTACTCAACAAGAAATCACTGGTTGGTCCGTGCTTATCAGAAACCTAGGGGCAGACATCCATGTGTTGTGATGGGTGGGTTCCCTTGCTATTGGGCTTGTCACTGCTAAGTACCATTTCTCCTGTTAAGAGTCTCTCACTTTCTGTCAGGGAGCCTGTAGAAAGGCTGCGAGTACCAGAGTACCCCAAAAAATAGCTCAGTGGGACAAGGTGCCACACGGACACCCAGGAAGCCTCCCCTGGCAACTGTATGGGTTCAGCTTCACAGGACTGTTGCCATCTTGAGTTGTAACCACCATGATTTCCCCAGTGAAAGTTGAGCCAGGCTCTGATTCCCCGCCAAGACTATACATAGGCCAAACCATTACAGAGGTATGGAGAACAGTGGACACCAAGACCCTGCCACCAGGAATGTGCGTTAGTCTCTGCTAACAGCTGAAGATAAATCAGGTGCATTTGGCTTGGATGATGTCACTTTTGTCCTGGACAAAATGTACACCCCGCCTTCTGTCCCAAATCAAGTCGGTCTTACTGCCACCCAGTCCCCAAATAAGTGACACTCTGTGCCTTCCTAGCACCGTCTGCCTCTTTCCTGGGTGTCACAGGGGCCAGTATGGGTCAGTTCCCATACTCAGAGTCAGACTGCTCCAGAGCCACAGGGTAGCGGCATGTGACCAGCCTTCAACATACATTCTGCCCCACGCAGTTACCAAGTGTCACACTGACCCTTATGCCCAGTCAGTGTCCACCAAAATGGCACTCAAATGGTCTACGTGAGTTTCTTTGGCTTCCTTGTGTGGTCAGCGCCCAGGCATCTTCCTGGCCCCTGGCAGTATCAAACCAGCCCTGCCTCTCAACACCAGCTACCCACCAGTTGGATCCCCTCTCCTCACAGCCCTCCTGGTGGCCACTGCCCAGGCAAGGCCACCCCACACATCCCCCTCCCACCTCCTGCAGTCTCCTGGGGACAATGTTCCTTGCCTGTGCAGCAACTCTGCCGGCCCTGCTCTCTGTATAGGTTGAGCTGTTTTCCCCACAGTCAGACATGGAACAGGGTCACAAAGATATATTGGTTACCATGCAGTCATGGTGGGCTGGGTTGTCCCCTAACACAACGTGCCTGGTGTCCTCAGGAAAAGAGGGAACTGGGACACAACACACAGGTTATGTGGACAGGAAGTGAGCTATGGACCCAAAAAGGGAGTGGGCCTCCTCACAGCTTGGTCTTCTGGCCTCTAGTCTGCTCCTCTGTGGAAGTCTGCTGCCCTAGCCCTCATAACTTTGTGAATCGGCCTTTCTGCTCCTCCCTGCACCTGGATGGGGAGTTTGAGAGAAAATCCAAGTCAGGGCAGGCCTCCCTGCCCCTCTTCCTTCTGAGGAGCCGGCTGTCAGCAGCAAGCACAAGTTCAAGTCCTCACTGCCTGTCTATGAGCTGTCAGGGCACCTGTTCCTGTCAGAAGAATCTGTCTCTTCCTCTGGAAGGGTAAGCACAACCATCACTAGACTTACCAGTTATGAGGCAGGATTTCCATCGAAAGATAAACTTCTACGGAACTGTGCAAAATGTGGGAGAGGTGAAGTAGACTGTCTGGAACACTTTCCTCCTAAGGCCTCCTCCTCTGTTTGCTTTCCAACTCGGCCGCCAGGAGCAAACCCTGTACCCCACCAGAAAGTCGGACAGGGGCATTGCCATCCCTGCCTCCTTCTCCCTGTGACAATGCTGTAGCCAACCAGTTAGCAGAGAACTCAGAAGGTCACGCACAGGTAGAGGAGCTACCTCCAGATATTATCTTACTATGTGTTTGTGATTAGCTCAATCGGAGCATGACTTACTTAATACACGCGCTCCAACAGCCCCCTAACGCTACTCCAGGGAGGCTGCGCTCGTTTCCGCGGCACAGCACTTCTGAACCTGCGGGTCTCACTCCGGTGCATGCGTGAGGGTGAGAGGCTGGAGCCCTGCGGGCGTGAAATCGCTGTGCGGTGGCTTCAGGATCTTCTGATCCTGGAAATCACCATCAGTGCTCCGAATCAGGGATGAAAAGGAAAAGGAATTCAAGGAAAGGACCTCCAAGGCTGGGGAGCCTGGGTTCCAAAGCATGATACTCAGTCGCTTGCTATAAATAGCCTAATAAGTCCACGTCTCTAAAACACCATCAGCAATTACATGAAATACTCATCTCTGAGTGCTGTAGTAGCTACTGCGGTCAGAAATCTAAAGCCCTGAAACTTTAGCACCCCGCCCTGCCCCGCCGCCCAAGGGCTGCCTTTGCCAGTGTGGGGGGAGCATTTTATGCCTCCAGCGACCACTGATGGCTTCTTCCTGGCTGGTCCAAGTGAAGTGAGGGTGCCCCAGCTTTTAACTGTAAATCCTATACCTTCTAGGCTCGGAACGAATGGCAAGAAGTGCTCAGTCGGGCGCAAAGCTTGGGCGCGCACCACTGGGTCAGGAGAGTCGCGGGACGGCTGTTCTCATCTGCGGTTAAGTGACCATCGGGAGTGGGGCAGCCGATGGGAGGAAGAGCCCCCAAGCCCCGGGCGCACTACCCAGTTCACAGCTGTGGTTAAACTGGGACTTGCTCCGCAACATGGGCCTGGGTGTCCCTCTCCCAGACACGAGATGCCCGGCCTGCATCGTGCGCCCCTCGGCGGCAGCAGAGAGGACAGCAGCGCTGCCGGGCAGGGCGGGGCTGCCCACACCTGACCGCAGGCTCCCGGCGGCCCTGCCCGTCCTCCTCGTGTTTCACAGGGGCAGCTGTGCCCTGCTCATGTTTGTGAAGCGGGTAGCAATATGCATCCGTGAACACCTGGCAACTCTCTTTCGTGGTTAACTTGTCTGAAAGTCACTGGAAATCCGTCTTCATAGCTTCAATACTTTCCCAATGCTTGATCCCTTAGTTTTTAGTTTTGCACAGCGGCAATACCTCGTGATTTTACCAAATGCTTACAGAGATCTGCCAAGTGAGCCATTGTTCCCACGCCATGGCAATGGGGGCGGGAACCGTGCCAGAAGCCCACACCGGAACCCAGGAACCAGGGCTGCGTCCTGAGGCGATCTCCAGCGGGGATGGGAACCTGCGCGCAGAAGTCTTGGAATCCGAAGTGGTCCTGACTGGCACTCACAGGGCCCGGCGGTGCCGAGTGCGGAAGCCCGGGACTGTCGTGACACACATCCTCCAACGCATACGATGCTTGAGACCATCGATATCCACAAGGCTGCAGGTTCCAGTTAAGCTCGTTAAGGTTTTATATATTTGAAGAGAAACCCCAAAATTAAAATCAACCATGAAAGAGCTATTTCTCTATTCATACAACTTCCTTAACTAGCCTTTTTTCTTCCCTGTCTCCAAAATAATAACTTCTATCTCGCTAGCACAGTATAGGCATTTGATCAATGCCATTTTTAAAAAGCTCGTTTCCACATAATTTACAAAAAAACCACAGCTATGGTACAGACTTTTAAAGCTGGGTGTTCTAAACCGACGTGACAGGTAGCCATGTCTTCACTGGAAAATCGCTGGGACGATTTGCCTCAGCGCCTTGTTCTCTGATGCTTCCCTTCTATCTCCACTCAGCCCTCTCATAACAGCTTGTGTGTGTGAACAACAGATCTTTGTGAAACCAGAGCCTGTCTCCTGCACATGCAAACAGGTCATGAGGAGGTGTGGAAGACACAGAGGTAGCACAGCAGCCCTCAGGAATCATGTGGAAACAATTTATAGAAGGCCAGAAATTCAGGCTGAATATCTTCACTGGTGAATTCTAATTCAGTTCAAAGGGGAGTGTTTTTGTAAATTTACCAATGATTCCAAATTAGATGAAATCATTGAAGGATCCAAGATAATTTTTAAAATCACCAATAATGATAGTAAAGACTTCAGCTAAAGATAAGACTATGGATCTATATGTCTATTTAGACTCCTAATAATAACGCAAGAAAAATTGGCAAAGAGATTGTTTTTAAAGCATTAACTCCCTCAGACAAACAGAAGCATAAGGGACTGTGTTGGAAGTTGGGGAGGAGATACACAAGCAGTAGGTGACTGAACAGACCC